GAAGTATATATGTCGTGACAGATGTAAACATTCACCATTTTTAACATATAACTTTGTCAAATTAATTAATACGTGCCTCATTTTGGCCTTTGTAAGATATCACAATAATTATGGAGTTATAACTGTATAGCTTAATGATGAAGTTATTGAAAACAATTACTCGCTCAAATATTGTTCATTTTCGAACAAACTGATATAGTGACTGGTTATATAAATTCGCTTTGACAAAGAATAACTTGACATTGACATATTCAAACCTATTATGACTTTGAATGTACCAAATATATTCTTCATTGTTTCTTGTTTACTATTTAAACTTGTGTTAATTTAATTCAATTGTTTATGCACTCTGAAGAAGTGGCTTACATTAAGTCGTGAAACGTCAGAAGTGCAATTTTTCTACTCACTGGGATATAAAAAGTGTATTTATTATTATATAAAATGATGTTTTGTCAGTTGTTTTATTTTTATTTCACATTGTAAGGATGGCCCACGGGTGAACTTGAGGAGGTCTAAGAAGCTTAGAAAGAGACGAACAATATTCCAGAATCTCTACGTGTGGCTTCCCTATTATTAGTGCTAAAACACTTGTATGCAAATTGGATGACTGCAATGATGATTTCGTTTCTAATAAAAACTATAAATACCTGACAGTTTTGTACCATGAATGAAACTGTTTGGAATAACCTTCCCTTCACTTGTCTTCTGTCCTCTCATTTGCGACTTAAAAAGTTTTACCGCTCGATTGCTTGAGTTGTAAGTGGTATATCAAGAATATAAGTCTAGATATAACACAAATGCATTTCAGCATCTATGGCTTGTGAAACTTTATGCTTAGTCTATATCAATCATCTTATTGGTACTGAACAGTGTAACAACTATTTACTAGAAAAATTCTATTTTTTCCATCAAATTTACAAATTATCATGGTAGGTTCTAGGTTCGAAACTCGCGAGGCGGGATCAAAGATGCGCACTGTTGAGGAGTGCCACAATAGGACGAAACGGCCGTACAGTTTTCCATTGTGGTCCAACTTCAATTAACTTATGATTTCAACTATGAAAATTAACATGAATTTATAAAATCTAACGAATATCTCACAAAACTGTCCATGGAAACAATCAATAAACGAAAAGGAAAGATTTTGAAATATAAAGATTCACAATTATTTCAACTGTGAAAATAAAATTTTTTGAAAAGAATCTAACATAAATCCAATTTAATCAATGATGTAAATTTTTTGGCAGAAATGCTGTTAATTGAATTGTCTTAACGTTGAAAAGAATTTTGTTTTAAAAAAAAGAGACAAAAACGTTGAAAGTCTTAACATCTGGCATTTTTATCTTTTTTACAAATCTAGGGCAACATTTTGTAAGCTGATTTTATATCGATTGAGATTATGAAGGGATCAATGTTAGACCACTACCGAAAACCTGTAATTACTTGATGGTCGTCTCGTAACAATATGAGACTCCTCAGCTATGCGCATACACGATCTCACACGCGGGATTCGAATCTAGGACCTTCGGTTTCGAGCTCAAATGATTAACTTCTAAATCACTGAGCCGACATCCAGAGGTGTTAATGTTGTGGATGCGCACTTCTGAGGAGTCCCATACTAGGATGAAACGTCGTCTAATGCATCCAGGTTTTTATTGGTATTCAAACACTGATCCATTCATGATCTAAATCAAAACTCAACAATCTTCATAATGTTTCCTCATATTTTTATTTCGTGTATCCTATTTATTGTTACATTTTAGAAAGAATGAATTTGTGGTTTAGTAATACTGTTACAAATAAAATATATAGGCGTATTCATAACACTTAAATGTACATATTTACAACTACATGCACAGAATGTATTGGATGTAAAGCAGTTTTCTTTATAGGAACTTGTCACTTATAACTAGCTATGTTTATAGTCAAATTTATCGACAACACATTATTATTGATTTCAAAGTTAATTATCATAATGAGGCTTATCGATCAATGCACACAATTTTGAGTAAGCTAACACTTAAACAAATTCAGAGTAAACACACTAAAATAAAACATGTTTTTTTCTTTTCAATAGTAAAACAACTTCTCAATTATTGAAATAGTAATATGATGCTTCCATATATTATCAAGCCTTCCATAATATAATTTTTTTAATGTAGATAAAAGTAAAACAAAACTTGTTCCTTCATGAAATTCAATTTGTATCTGAATAAAAATAACTGTTAATTTTTGATATAAAATGGTATTGTTAGTAGGGAAAGTGTTTAAAGTTAATAGTTGATTATAGAGTACTGCTAGATCGCTTAAATTGTTCGCAAATTGTGTCAAAGTTACAAGCGCTTTGAGCTTATTACATCTTTTTCAAGGTTAAATTTGAAAATAAAAATACAAAGAGTCTATTCTAATTGTTTATGTTACTCTATAATGAGGTACATAGATTTTCTCATTCATTCACAATCTCTATAGCCAGATAGTTTAAGTTATGAGCATTGTCCCCCGATACCTTGCCTATAGAAGTCATTATTATTTTTTAAAATAACATATTGTACTTGCAGGCATATATATTTAGCTCATATTGTAGTAAACAAGAACACAAATGGGGACAATCGAATGTATTTTAGCACAACATTACAGAATATCTTATTAAAATATGAGAACCATATGGTGAACAGTTAATTTGCAAAATAACAATCACTTGTCTCAATTTGACTGTTCCTTCTGCAAATATGCGTTCATAGTCAACGATTATAATTGTTCATGCATTTTCGTACCCAATACATGCCATTCCCGTTCTCTCTATATCTATCTTCTACTGAAATACATTCAATGCCCGACCATCACCACATACTACTCATATAGATATCAGTACCCCACACCACAGTATGTCAAACCATGAGAAAATATAAATGATCGTTTAGATATTCAAACATGTATCTTCCTCTGCTCTTTGGTTTTATAACAAAGTTTTTCTAAAAAATAAGTACACCACAAGGGAATTTTACTTTTCAATATTAAATTTCATTGTTACTAATCTAATACACTATAACGTTATCAATAAGAATAGGGAAGACAATTTTATTAAAACTTATATAAAATGAATATTGTGTTTATTATTTTAAATTATATATCACTACTACTTATTATAATATATAAATATTTTATTCAAAGTTGATCGATTGAAATTAGTCACCATGTAAAAATAATTGATAATTGTTCTTCCATCTTTTTCTTCTTCCTGCCCCCCCTTCTCCTCATTTAGTTGTCAACTGTATTTGTGTGTTTGTTTAATTGAAATGAATATTAGTAAGTAATCATGTTTAATTATTAATTATATTATATTAGATATATATTAATTCAATTTATGATATTTCTGGGTGTTTTTTTTTAAAGAAAATTATCATTTGAGTCAGTTGTAGTTAATAAAGTATCTAATTCCGATATGATACTTGGAGTCAAATGTGGATAAATCTAAATAATGAAAGATGAACAGAAGAAACGAAATAAACACATCAACTTATTGTACAATGTTTCTCATTTATAAATTTAATTAAATTAAAATTTACATTCATATTAATATTATATAGATTCATTGAATTCGAAGAGTGTTATTACTATTTATCACTTGGAATATAGTAATGTATATGATTCAGAAGATTCAGTGTATATGAGAAGAGTATTTGTAACTATGATATAAGTAACAAATATTTTATCAGTTTATTTGATGTACATTTTTGGCTTCAATAATTATTGAATTTATCACTTATCTTTGGACTGTTAAAAGTAGATATTAATCTTCATAATTAATAAATTCACTATCGAGGCAATCCTCACAACAACAGATTGATTAATTACAGATCTTAACAACAATGGGAACATACAACCAAGCAATATCAAGTTAATTTAAACGTTACCCCATCGCAAAAGCAAGTGGCTATCAGGATTCAGTAATGGATAGGTTTGAAGTGAAAGGTGCTGGGTTCTAGTTCTAGAGTAAACATCAACTCTGTGGTGCAGGTAAATCCAGCTGACGAGTGCCTAATAGGATGAAGCGCAAGTCCTGGATTTTAATGCTAGTTACTATTCATGTTTGCCTAAAATTCATTTTAAGTCTATTTATTAATATAAGCAATGAAAAATTGTAAAACTTTATCCAATTCACTTCATTATTCTTCACCAGCTTCACATAATAACTAGCTGAAATAGACAGTGAAGTGTCGTATTTTTTTGCCACAACATTTCTATACTTGAACCTTAAATTGTTTAATATAGATGATCATTCGTTGATTACCAGGCTACTCAATACAACAGAAAAACGGTGAATAATAAAAGAGGTGGTAGAGAAATATTGAGCGGTTTCTCTGACACTAATAGAATTCAGCGGAAAAGACAATGAAAATCCTACATTACTTAATAACTCTTCTAGTATTCTTTAGTAATTTGGTTAAATACAGTATGTCCAAGTTTTTATTACTTTAGCTTCCCACTTATGAACATACACATGAACGTATAATATTACTGTTTTAATTTAAATCCATATACATAAGTATATTGCTATAAGTAAATGTCAGCAAAATGTCCACGGCTACAGTACCCAAGTAATCACCGGTTAATGACAAACATATACAACCATAATGACAATTGAAGTGATAAGCTGAGAATTTCAAATAAACTGCTCGTTTCTGTTGATATTCTTTTCTGATTTGTTGAAGAAAATGATTTCAAACCGTACGATTCGTTAAGCTTAGAACATCAAATTATTTAGCTATCAATTACGATTGTAGGATACAACCCTAAAGCTTTGTTCTTGGAAAACACTGAGTAAAATGAATATTCGCCATTTGACTGAATCCTTTTTAACAACTCAAATAATTTATATTAGTTGTTTTACAAATAGTGATGAAATTTTTCCAAAAATATTTTTAAATACTTACCAATACTGATCTTATATTTTCATGTAACTGATCAACTGTTGCTGCTCCGATAACAACGCTGCTAATATGGGAACAGCGAAGACACCAGGCTAAAAAGTTGATTCACACGCAAAGAAAAGAAGTAAATCGAGTGAAATAAGCATTAAGTGTTTTAAATTTTAAAGGCTTAATATAGTGAAAGTTTAGAAAGATAGTTTTGAACATGTGATTTCCGTACACGTTTAAAATAGGACGGAGAAAAACGAATAGAATCAACTTATTTTATAGAATACAGTCAAATTTAACTGAAACTGCTCATGAACACATTTAAAATATGTTGTTTTAATGAAATGCTAAGCTATGTATTTATCAATTGTACCAGTTAAAAGGTATTATTTCAATAGGATAACTGACTTGGATAATTCACACACTTTATTATCAATCAAGTGTACCATTATCAAATTTTTAAATATAACCAGTATGCGGTTACAGAGTTTGTTAAGTTTTTGATCGATCAAAGTGAGACCATCATTGAAAACCTGGAATTACTGGACGGCTGTTTCGTCCTATTGTGGGACTCCTCAATAGTGCACAACCACGATTCATCGCACGGGATTTGGATCCAGGACCTTCAGTCTCCTGTGCAAACGCTTAACCTTTAGAACACTGAGCCGGTATACGACAGTGTTAATTTCTAAATTTAACCAACCCATGATATTCCGCGACCATCTTCGATTGTCTGACATAGATACCTGTCTCTAGCAGACACGGATTAGCACCATTAGTCACGACTTCTCACTAGAACTTCGAAAATTCCCTCACGAAGCTAGTCACTAGTGAGTAGATTTAAAATATCAGTCGGATTTTTAACTGAACAAAAGAAAAAGTTAATTCTTACTAGGGTATCTATAAAATCATAACATTGTTGAGACACTACTATGACATTGTATTGTACCCAATGTAAATTGTAAAAAATTAAATGACTATTTGTATTGTAAAGTTATGAAGGAAAGATTGTGATAACATTGTTTGATGCAGCATATCTCTATAAGCTCAAAGCTTTTCAGTAAACAACAAGAAACATAGAATTTGCAATTAAAACGCTACACAACCTAAACCTTCATTGAAACTAACATTTTTCTCTTTATCGTTTCTCTTTTTAAATAAATACCATCTATTCTATCAAAAATAATACAATCTTTGTATGTATCTATCAACACTTATAGTCAATAGAATCTGGTCAAATTATTGATTTGAGTAAGATAACATTAAAAATAATCAGTAAATGATTTCACTCCTACAATCCACAGTATATATCTACATATGTATCTGTATGGTGGAAAGGCACGTTACAACTTACCAATAGCTAATTGTGCACAAGTACATTTAATTCTACCTGCTATTTTACATAATTGTTTAACTTGTTCCCTTTGACTTAGACCTTTTGAACAAAGAAGTTTATCACGTATATCTTCTTGATTCTAAAACCAATAAAAACAAAAAATAATTAAAAAAATTAGTTTATATTTAATAAAAAATAATTTACTACATTTATTATTCGTATCCCCTCCTTAAAATTAAATCAATCCTTTGATCCTTGCACTGAATATAAAATTTCTTTATTGCTTAATTACTTATTTTCATGTGAATACTTTTAAGAACTCTGAAACGAATCATTTGTAAAATGTATTTCATTTGATAATTATCAGATTATTCGAAAACATTTTTTTCTTTTATATAAACATGTGCTCATGATGTCGTTCAGAAGAACGATGAAAGAACAATTGATTTATCACTGGGTGGTGATCAGTGTCATGCGTGTGAAGTCCATCTTAGTGCTGATTGAATGCTATCGATCAAGTTACAATGTGGCCACTAGTCTAGGTGGCTCGATACTGCTTGCACTGTATTGAGATAAGATGGTGGTTGGAGGTGGTCAACAGGAAACCATAGACCTGGATTTCGTGCTACTTGGAAGTCATCAGCAAGGTTTACCTGTAATCTTGGTGGAACTGGTGCTCCCTGACGGATTCGATCGTGCGTCACAGTCAGAGACGTTACCACTGTAAGACCTCAGTGAAGACTTCTACCCGAAATTTGTACTGATGATGAAAGCTCTATGACCAAACCATCCAGCTCAGAGAACAAAACCCCATCAAAATCAATGAAGTTATGTTACTTATTATATCATCTGAAAAAATGTTAAACATTTTTTCGAGAATTATTGAAGACTAGTTGTACAAATATTCTGTTGATAAAAGCTTCTTTATTTTGTGGTTAACATTTGCTCTTCATTTTTCCAACCATCTACTCTACTATCTTACGAATGATCATTAACCTAAATAAATATTATATATAATCATATCTGTTAAGACTGGTATTTGATCTAATAATCAGATAATAAGAAAAGGATACTGATAATTGTCGTTTATCTTTGTAAACTACTGTATTTCAGCCTGTAAATATAATTATTTTTGCAGAAAACATTTTTGCAATTATTAAATCAATAATTAGTTTTCTGTCAGTCAGAGATTTACACTCAAAAACTCACTTTTAATGTGGCTCGTGAGAAATTCGGTATACAGTCAATGTATTTACCAGTTAAAATGCCACCATTTAATGGTGATCCTGTCATAATACCAATATCTGAAATATTAAAAAGAAAATGTGTACAATATTATGATATCCTACAATTATTTACGAATGAACTTCATTTCAATCAACAAATCAATGTATGAAAACTACTGTTTACTAGTAACTACAATTGGTTGATGACTGAATAGTGATCAATGTCATGTATTTTTAAGGTCTTTTAATGCTAATCGAATTCAACCGACTAATGTACGATGTAGCCACTAGTCTAAGTAACCTGATGTCGCTTGTAATGTGTTGAGTTGCTAGTTGGTTGGAAGTAGTCTACAGGAAACCGTGAAAATATTTCAGTGTGTGAATAAAGATAAGACTGGTTCTAATCCCATAGAGAGCATTGCTTGCCTCAAGGATACAGGCACTCTTTATTGGCAAGCTTCAACTACCGCAAAACCTAGGTTCAAAGTTTTCCATTGCTTACCCCTGCTAGATTGAAGAATAATAATCGCGACAGACGTTAAAGGTTTAAAGAAACGTGTAAGTGTATTTTGAAAGACGTAAGTAGACATCTCGAAACACCATCATAGTTTTAACACATCAACGGGTGTTATTTTATGCTCAGATTCTTTCAAGGTATATAACATCAGCTTGGCTGAATTTTATGTTTTATAAGTTTTCTAGTCATAGATCCGAAATCCATACATTCTGTTAGATATATTGCAGACATTTGACTGCCTAGTTAATACCTAATAAATTCACTGTATTACTATCCGCATATCATATTTGAACACTGTGGCCAATTAACATTTTAGACCAAAAGACAATATCCCTTTCTAATTCCATGAATATCTTTCTTCAATAATCCATTGTAATTTTTATGCAAATTATTATGATATGCATAATAGATTAGAAAATGAGTGAATGATATCAGGACATCGAAACTAATTCAAAACTGAATATTTTATGCAGTTTCGCCTGAATTTTAAAATTAACATTATGGTCAATATAATTTCATTGGTTAATCAAATATTCTATTATTATTACTATTCTTTTCAAAGGATTCATCAAATCACTTGGCCGTCTCTAAGAAATTTTAGGTATACTGTGACTTATCTCGACTAGCTGCTTTTAAAGTTTGACTATCAAAACTTCTTTCTTAATTATATTTTATATACGTGAAGAAAAGGAAATAACGATTTATTGTTTTTAATAGTTGAGATGATGAATTAACTGAAGCTAGACCATCATGGAGAACCTAGGAGCATTGGACAGCCGTTTCGTCCCACTAGGGGACTCCTCAGTACTGCGCATCCACGATCCCGCCTCGCGAGATTCAAACTCAGGACCTATCAGTCTCGTGCGCGAACGCCTAACCTCTAAACCTCTGAGCTGGCCGTCATCCAACGGTGTTAATGTCTAATTTCAGCTAATCCACGATTTGTGCGACACATTCACCATTGTCTTCAGTGAGTTGCCATCTCACAACAGAACCGGTTGAAATCCACTGGTCACTGCTTTTCACTAGAACTCCAGAAAATATCTCTTGAAGGTAGTCACAAGTGAGTGTATGTTGATTAATATCAGAAAGGGTTGTGAAGAAAAAATTATCGATCGTGAAATGTAATGATGATGCTATCTTGTTTAATTATAAATGATTACCATTAAAATCATCATCTATTTCATTTTAATTCATTCCTCAATAAGCACCTAATTTTAAGTTCAAGATAATTAACAATGATTCATAAGTTGATTTCAAATAGATTAGACTTATACGTAGCGCTCACTATGATTTTTTCTACGAGTTTCCGTGTTTACGGCTTATAAAATTAAAAACAAATTATTTATTTCTAATTCACTGAAACTTAAAATTATTTTCAGAATGTGGTTTTATGAATATTGTGGTAATTTTTAATCCCGTCACGCAATATCGTGGATTGGTTGATGTTAGAAATTAACACAGTTGGATGCCAACCAGCTCAGTGTTCTAGAGGTTGAGTGATCGCATACTAAACCGAAGGTCCTGGTTTCGAGTTTGGCGAGCAGAATCGTGGGTTCCCACTGCATAGAAGTTCCATACTAGAACAAAATAGTACTTCCAGGTTTTTCGTAGTAGTTTACCTTTAATTGACTCATGAATCCAACTATTAGAATTATTTTGTTTCATCAATGTTTATTACTTTATGCAGATAATTGAATAAAAATGATAATTTCTGAGAAAATTTTCACAGTTCCATCGCGTTTCATAAACATAATTAAAGTATGTTATATAGGTTGGTTTAAAACAAACAAAAAATGTTTACATTTGACATTAATCTATAAACTGTGATACATTTTTTTAAAAACCATGATTTAATAGTAGAGAATGAAAATGATCAGCATATTTGGTTTTTGTCTTTTTTTATGTACTTACTTAGTTTTAAACAAATTTCACGCATATTTTGTAAATAACTTTTATTCAGTAAATTCAATTCATTTTGATCTACAGATGGTGGAATTAAATTGAATTGTCTGGCAACTGTTTGAGCTTGCTATGGAAAAAATTAATAAAAAAAAGGAAAAAGAAATTACAAACTATTTGCATATAAATATGATCAACTCATATAATTTTTATTAATGATACATTAAAACAAGGAGTGAGAGATTTAAATTTATGGATGACTTTTGAGCGACATTCAAGTTATCCTGAGAATATCCACCTACATACTAGGGTTAAATGACTGTTTTAAACCAGTGTAAAGGGTAAGGATTGTAAATTACAATTGATTGTTATGAATAGGGATTAGATTTAAGGTTTTCATCATGAACTGACATTAGATAAAATCCCAATTTAGCCAAATAGATGAATGAATTCCAAGCTGAATTTCAAGATATGTTATTGTAAATCTGATTGGTTCGTCTATAAATTATAGTCTCGTCGCAAGGAAATATTTCTAGATGTAATATACACTGTCTTGCGATTTGTCATATATATATTAGAGACCATTATTTCCTCATAAAACTCTTACAAATAGTTTAATAACTGATAAAATAATGAACTTGTATGTAGAGTTTATCAGGCCACTTAATAATATGTTGATTTGATTATGATTTGAAAGACGAAAAAAAAATCCATTTTTACGATTTCGAATTCGTGAGTGAACAGTTAAAATAACAAAACGTTCTATCTAAAGACTGGAATTAGGGAGTGAATTGATAGAGACTAACCATACTGTTTACAAATATTAAACAATAAAAATTTTTGTTTTTGAGTAAATATACTGAAAGTTAGACGTAGTTAACTGAACAAAACAATGAGATCATCTCGGTTTGCCAAAAAAAACATTGAAATTAATCTGGTTGTGAGCAATAAGGCTTAATCTGTTTGTTGACTTGTTAGTTAACTTGTAAATATACAGTATTTGTTAATTAGCCTCTGCCATCCTAACAATCCAATGCATTTAGATTTACTCTGGAAAATGTATTGATGAGAGATAGTTAACTAGGTTTGTACATGCAGTTCCTTAAGTAGTTCTTAATTCTTCTACCACAGTTTTGCCTGTGCTTATCTTCCTGTTTCTCAGGCAAAGTGAGAGAACTAATCTTCTAAAAGATCTCATATTTCAAATATTTGTCGTATGTTGCCCATGTTTTTATTGTATAACTATCTACCACAACAAAATAAAATCTATCCTTGATACTTTAGTGATACTTATCAAGTGATCGCTGTAAGCTGTAATATGAAGAAGGTATATTCAAATCCAAGTTTTTACAATCAACATTACTGTATGTCTCATGTGTACTTTTTTAAATATGTCGGACATTATTGACTGAATTCAATAAACCATAAAACACCTAGCCAAAAATCTAAGCGAGCTGAATTTAAGCGATACACAATCTACATTCTGATAGATTTCTCTAATCTGTCTATAGTTGTCAAAGTCTTATTCCAATATACCGACATCTAGACCATTTAATTTAATTTTATCATATATAGAGGAAAATATCATATGTTGATGCAACAATTACAAGAATTGATAAAATGTCTAACGAAGATCTAACAAATTAACTTCACAACGTGAATGTAAAAACAAAATCTTAACAAAGAGTATGCAATGAAAGTTTCTCCTTAATAGCTGAAATATTTTAACCATAGGATGCATAACTAAATGTTTATTTATATACTACTTACTATACATTCTTTCATAAGGAATATAATCCTATATATATTTATGTACAACATACAGTCCTAGAACATTATTACCTTATTATGTCTAATACGTTTCTGCAGATTCTTCTGTTTCTGTCAATTAAATTTTCAGTGATATTACTTTATCTACACTTCAGTTATGTACAATGTATCAATGAAAAATGTTTGAAAAACAGTAATAAAATTTTTATTATTTAAAAAAAAGTTAGACAATAACACCCTATAGATGCCGACCAGCTCAGTGGTCTAGAGGTTAAGCGTTGGTGCGCGAGACTGATAGGTCCTGGGTTCGAATCTGGCGAGGCGGGGTCGTGGATGAGCACTGCTGAGGAATCCCTGCGATAGGACGAAATAGCCATCCAGTGCTCATAGATTTTCCATGATGGTTTAGCTTCAATTGACTCATGATCTCAAATATTGAAATAAATAAAACCTTATTTCAATTTTTAATGTAAGAATCATAGTCTTCGAATGTATGAAAATAAAAATTATAATCTGATTAACATTGAATAAACTCTCTTGTCATATGACTGTCTACATAATCTGATAATCAAATAGCTAACGAATTCTTATGTAATAAAATTTACTAGACAGTATAAAAAAATGCCTTACCAACTGTTTTATTTTCAACGTAGTATTTCAAATTTATTCTGTTTGACATTTTAGACAAATAAATTTATGAAAAAGAAATTTTCTATTTACTTTATATATTTATGTATGAAATCTTACCATAACTTCACAAGGTAACCATCCAGATGTACCCCAATAAAATGTCCAGCCAAGATGAATAAGATGTGTACAAGTTCTTACAACTTCTTCAACTGGAATCGATGATTCTTTTGGACGTGTAACAATCATAATATCTACGTATTCTAATTGAAGTCTTTCTAATGATGACCGAAGACCTGTTTCACAAAATATATCGGATACATTTTTAAACTAGTATAAGAAAATAATTTAATAAATGAATAATAGCTGCAAATTGTACAAAACTGGGCTGGATACACCAGCTATTGTTGATTAAATTACTATGCAAGTAGTAAGTATCCCTCCCTCTAATTTTGTTAAAATATAAAGATTTCAGAGAACCTGAATTTAGTTGAGTAAAACTAGCCTGCCACCTTTAAAAATAACATGACTTAAAAATAGAGTAGATATTAAATATATTACATATATATCATGAACCAATTTAAGTAAGCCCAATACTAACTACCTGGAAACACTGGAATGACGTTTTGTCCTAGTATGGTCTAGAGGTTAAAAGTTAGCGCACGTGACCGAAAGTTCTGGGTTTGAGTCCCGCATGTAAAGTTGTTGGTGTGAGCTGCCGTGAGTAACATATTAGGACAAAACGATTTTGGTGAAGTTTTGTTCTTTGACCGGATGGTTTGGTCGTAGAGTTTTCAGTGTTCTCCTGTACAACATCATCAGCACAAACTTTAAGTAGAATTGAAGTGTTCAAATTTTTACACATATGGCTCATGGCCTATCCTGTAGACCTTGATCTTGATTGGTTGTTACTGACCTTTAACCTGCCATTGTTTACTTCTTTATTTTGATTGTATCTTCCATTGATTTGATTCTTAGTGGATTCTTGATGCAGAAATTTGAGCACTTCACTTCTACCTGAAGTTTGCGCTGATGACGTTGTACAGAAGAAAGCTACACGACCAAACGATCGAGCTCGAGGAACGAAACTCTACTGAAATCATCCATATGAACTACAAATCTGCACCATCCCTTAAGACAAAATGGCTGTTCAGTGCTTCCAGTCTCATGATTTTAATAAAATTCAACAATCTCCCCAGTCCCACATTGACTATGATATATTGCATTTTACGACAAAAACGTTATCATTTTTATCTTACAATGCCTCGGAGTAGATTTTTGAAGCATAGTACATTGATTCACAAGTGAATGATCATTGGTCAATGTTACACAACAAAATTCTATTGTGGTGGACTTTCTACAAATGTAATGACATAGTAATCCAGTTTAGCCAACTAATCTGTTTCAAAAACAGCGTCACATCCTACTAGATTTAAATATTCATTTTTCATACACATAGTTCCCTTTATCATCTTAACGACAGAAAACAGAAAAATTGATGCAGAATTATGTGAATTTAATTCATTTCGTTAGGTTCTCATCAGCTGCTTATAAAATTAAAGTTATTATGGATATTGATGTACTTATAAATACGAAGGTAATTAGAGGTGTTTATGTGCATCATGATGAAGTGAAGATTCCAATAAAGTTGATAAGATCATAAATATTTTATTTGAGATAAATAAATAAAGTTTGAGAGGGAGAGTTGCAGAACATCGGACTCGTGATTAGAAATCACAGAGTTAACAAACATTAGATGATTATGTAATGAAGTAACTGAAAACGGATTTACGGTAATAAAGAAAGATATGAGTTGAAGTTAGTCAATTAACAATTAGAGTATGATGCAACAAAAAGGAAGTTACGTTATCAGGGTAAGTAAAGTTTTATTACTGTTTGTTTTTGGAAATATAGATCCCGTTTTAAAACTTTGCTTGCCGTAGCTTCGACAAATTTCAGAAAATTGAAGTTTTATTGTTTATTAATCAACTTGAAAGACCTCAACGTATTCACTTGATATCCTGTATCAAAGAGATGCCTCGAGATGGCACAGCTGAATGTTTTTACTGCACTTGAACTCAGACGTTTTGGAATATGTTCTTTGGATCGCACATAGGCTACCTTTTCTGTTCTACCAATGTGAATTTGTATACACAATTGTTGGTAACATAAAAGAGGTACCTATCAATCTTAGATTGTGTTGAATAACATTGTTTTAGACAGGACAACCAGTTTAGCCGCAGAATCAATTATTGTCAAAGCAGTTTTTAGTCTTATGTTGACTGATCATGTCACATTATCACTTTTGAACTTAGGTTGAATAGAAATAGGTTTCTTGTTCATTGTAGTTTCTTTGGGTTTCTTATCTTCACCTTTTGCATATTTCTCATCAAATTTTTGTGAGTATCCATTATTCATTAAACACCTTTTCACATTCGTTAGTTCCTCTTCTAGTGTACCACTTAGTCATTGATGTCAAAAAATCTCTGTCGAACAACCTACATTATGAATAATCAAAGTAGCCAGTACTAAGTTTGAATATTTTGTTGTTTGAGAGACTTTGCAGAAACTACTTTATCATTCTCGATTGTCTAAAATCTTACAAATGTCTATATATTACAAAATGGATAATGGTAAGCCGTAAAAACGATCTCCATCAAATGGTTTCGGTAAAATATTAAAACATGTTATTTTAATACGTAAAATTGTTTAAATAGTTTGTGTATAGAGGTTGTATAGAAATAGGACTGATTCAAAATAGCATACTTATTCACATTTGTGTATTAAAGCATAACTATACTTTGATATTAGACTTTACTAGGATATTTTTCAAGCATTTTAAGCATAGATTTTTAGTTCTTTCGGTTAAAAAAAGACCCAACTCACTTTGTTCTCTATTTCCGTGGATATAAATTTTTTAAAATATGCTTTGTTTGTTTATTTTAAACTGAGATTATTCACGTTATTATCAGTGCAATATTTGGTAATAAACAATTAGGTAGATTTTTCAAAGTTGAAATCATGAGTCAATTGAAGCTAGACCACCATCGAAAACCTGGAAGCACTGGACGGCCGTTTCGTCCTATTATGAGACTCCTTAACAGTGCGCAGTCATGTCATTTTATAAAGGTCAAAGTGATTTGAAATAAAGTGTCCAGTCACAGTCAGTATAACAATAATATATACCAAAAATGAAAATGCGAAATTATGTGAATACAATTCACAACAAGAGAATTTTATCTAGTTAATTGAGATAATAATGATAAATAGTAATTGACTCATGATTTCAACTTTGAAAAATACTGAAATCTCCACAAACCCCCTTTTGATTATAATCATATATTCACAAGTGACTGACTTCAAGATACATGTCCTGGAGTTCTAGTGGGAAGCAATGACCAGTGGAGTTCAACCACGTCTGTTGTGAGATAGGAACTCACTGAAGACAGTTGGTGAATGTTGCTCAACTTCGTGGATCAGTTGAAGTTAGACATTAACACCGTTGGATGCCAGCTTAGTGGTCTATCGGTTAAGGGCTTCGGTTCGAGGCTGTTAGGTCCTGAGTTCGAGTCTCGCGAGAGCGGGTTCGTGGATGCGCACTGCTGAGGAGTCCCATAATAGGACGAAATGGCCGTCCAGTGTTTCCAGGTTTTCGATGGTGGTCTAGCTTCAATTGACTCATGATTTCAACTTTGAAATATACTGAAATCTCCACAAATCCCCTTCTAATTAGGTAAATTATTACATTAGAAAATAACAAACTTTTCTTTATTGTTTTTCTTGGTAGCGGATGAAACATTGATTTTTCGTTAATTAGATCTCTTCATTTTTATTGATCAGTGTCATTGGAGAATCTGTATTCACCATTACAAATTCTAACACTTTATCCACTAAGCTCAGAAGTCTTAATGGATTATTTTTATTCGACTAGTATTATATAATACCAAGTGTTACGTATGCTTGAACACCAATTACCACGACGCACAATGCTGACTGGTGTTGGAGACGGTTGGAATAAAGTTAGGGACGGCAAAACCAGTCTTTGAAGTCACTAACTTTTGGTCTGAGCCATGTTGGTAGATGCAGACTACTTGGTTTGGGTCTAGGCGACTATCGTAAAGAGTGGTTGGTGACTCTGGGTGATATGGCTCAGAATCGATAACAATAGCGTAGGTGTATACACTCCTTGTTTTCCATTGAACCGTGAGATTGAAATCACCTTTCTACGAACTAATTGTTTCTTTCTGTATTATATACTTATACATAATCTTTATTTTATATATTACTACCATATATATATATATATATATATATATATATATATATATATATAACAGATGAATTATTAATATTTTATTCAGAGTATCAGTTAAGAACATAATATTTCTTATCATCTAAACTAACGAAATTAAATGATTCCTTCGGTGAATATTATTGTTACTTAACAAATATAGTTAAGATCATGTGTCAATTGAAGCTGGACCACCATGAAAAACCTGTAAGCACTGGATAGTCGTTTCGTCTAGCTTCAATTGACTCATGATCTCAACTATATAAAATTACTAAAATCTCCACAAAACTCCCTTCTGATATTTAACAAATAATCAAAACATCTTCAGAAGTCTAATAAAACGCACTTCAGAAATAAGGTTAAATTATCACTAAGAGGTACAGTGACAATGATAAAAATTCCAATTCTACTATGTAACTGACGTAAAGATGATTTAAGTGTGAAAGGTAAAAAGTCAATAAATCTTTTCCCTGTCATATGATCATTATTAGACCTACTTTAGTTTATCATCATTTATTTTTTCTTCTCTTTAAAAAATATACATATTGTTTTTATTACATAATTCAATTACACAAGGTTACATAGGAACTTTGTTGTACTTTTTATATGAACAAACTACTTGCTGAGTGTAATGCACAAAGGTATTTTCTATACCTTAAACAAACAGTCAATCAATATGCCTAAATGTAGACTAGAAACAACAATCATTGTTTATTAACAAACCTATAAACCTTGTCCAACAAACTTGCCTGGACTTCTTCAGGATAATGATTGAAATTAAAATCAACAAAGTAATATATAGTACTATATATTTATTGGTTGAATACTCTGAAGAAGTCTAGACAAGTGAGCTGGACGAAACATTGGAATTATTGACAATTCAATCCGAATAATTAATGAATGTTCGATGCTTTTAATTTTAAGGGAATATCAGAAATTTATTATATTCGCTTCTTGAATATCTTCAAGATTCAGTTTGTAACTAAAGAAAAACAAATTTCTAGCAAAAGAATAGCAATTTCACGTAGTAACCATGTAGAGTATTGTTTACCTTCGAAAAGATGCTTTCTTGAAAGACCTTGTTCAGTTTCAGCACTAAAATAAAAGACATATTGAATAAAATTGTAAACATATATTGAAAATAGAAAATTGATAATAAAACGATTGGCATGAGTTAGAAACAATTATGGGTTATCTTAATTGCAGATATATTGTTTATTATGAATCTAAATACATTTTTTAAGGGTTCGCATTATTCTGTTGTCTATTTTCAAAGTTGTTAGAGTGTACGCAACCTAATTAAAATGCACTGGTGAGTCTTAATGATAAGCTAGAGCAAATGCTATCACATCTGTTGAATAAGTTCGTGTTTATTTGAACGGAGTTATTTAGTGATGAAAGTTTTGAAGTTGAAATTGACATCTGTAGAGTTCAAGCCTCACTGTAGACAACAACACTGAGATATCATCACCAAAATGTAATACACATATACTTTATTTTAGATTGTTTCACAGTTTACTTGTTCTCTCCATATGATGAGTTTGTTACTAGAGATTCAAAATTAAACTCTTCATTAATCCCAATAACGAGCATTTTAGAGCAGTATTTGGAGCTAAACGAATTTTAGACAACATTATATGAAATAATACCATAAATGACAACACTAATAACCACAAAGTACTGAGATATGAATACCAGCTAGATCAGTAATCAATGTAGAATGTTATTACGCTAACCAAAACAATAACGTTATGAAACTACATGGTTTACTAAGATGTTTCTCACATGTTATAGTAAGAATGAACATAAGGATTTTTGAGCACTTCATCGTTGATTTGTATTTTTTTGTTTACATAAATATTTAGAATTTCACTGATGAACAGGTTCGTTTTTAACTTAAAGGATTTGGGTTAAAATGTCTTTTACTTCAACCAGAATAGTACGATTTTAGCAATAAAATGAGATGTCACTTGAAAGCATAACTACTATTCCTTAAAATTGAATCTTCAGTCATAGGAGAATAGAATGTCACACTACTTAAGTCATTACATATCAATAATAAACAATAAAAGAAATTATAAAAGGATATTTCGTGAATTTTATAAATAATACATTCAAATTAATAGTTGAAATCGTGAATCAGTTGAAGCTAGACCACCATGGAAAACCTTGAAGCACGAGACATTCAACTTAGTTGAATAATAAAAACTATCTAATTCTCATGATAAAAAGAAACAACATTTATATTTGCTTTGAAATTCCGACAAATCCAGTAATGGAAGCTCGAATGTATTGGAATATCTAAACTTCTAATAAAGAATTGATCAATAGTTACCAGTGTTACATAATGTATACTTCATAATGCTTACTGAGTTTTATTAACTAAGCTGAACTACAAAGTACTGTAATCGTTGACTGGGGTTCACCATTTTATTGTCAGATATTAATTCAAATCAGATACATCAGATAATTTAGGTCATGTAAATATTTAAATCCATTTGGTATTGTTTTGTTTGAATCTTCCCATTGATGTTTAGGACTGCAATTGATCAGTCTCTTATTGACATATGAGAATACTGTGCGTATTACCTCGATGTAGACTCAATTCACAAGCATCGTAAGCAAAGACAAGTCCCAAATAAGAAGAAACGCGCTTCCTGGATTCCACTGCTAGCCACTATCCATCTTTGCTTACAATACATGCAAATATTCATATCATTCTACAGAATATTATTAAACTTTCATTGGGTGATAAAAAATGCTATAATTTCCTGGTTTTAATAGATTACATAATGAAAGGATACTATGTCTTTTGATATTTATTGAAAATGTAGATGCGTTCAACAATCTTATATCAATCAATGAAAACATTTACAGAACTATCAGCAAAGATGGATAGTGGCTAGCAGTGGAATCCACGACGCCCGTTTCGTCTTATTTGGTACTCGTCAGATGGATGTACCTGCATCTCACAGTTGATGTTCACTCTGAAACTCGAACACAGTACCTTTCGCTTCTAACACCATCACGTTATCCACTCAGCTACTGAGTCCTGATAACCACTCGCTTGTACAATGGGGTGAAGTTTAAATTCACTTGGTATTGTTTGTTTACATCTTCCCATCTTTCCGCATTTGTTTATAATGCTTGTGATTTAAGGCTATATCGAGGCAATACGCACAGTATGCACATACACTAATAAGAGACTGATCAATCACGTTTGCAAACATCAATGGGAATATTCAAATAAACAATACCAAGTGAATTTATTCGTAGAACTGTTTATACTATAATCAAAAACATTTATTTTACTAAAGAAATTACCAGGCTGATTCGAAATCAATTTTATCCAACCTAACGTCAATTCAAGCGTACCTTACATAATTCTGTTATAATGTCGTGAAATTCAACAATTTACTATGTATGTTACAGAATCATTACAAAGTCACCAGTCTCCTATATATACCAAGTGATCTAGCTTGCTTAGTTTCAACGAAATTATTGCATCAATATAAAGTTATTCTTTTCTGTCACTAATTAATATTCTTTAGCATTAAATGTTGAGCAAAGTTGCATAAAGCGAATGACAATACTGGCAAAAGAAACATTTTTTGAGATAACCGTTTTAGCTCGTGACTGTCAAAGAATACTCTTAAAGAATTCTATTATAGGTTATTCAGAATAGTGACACTTTTGTCAGTGTCACTTTTTTGTCAGATAATTAAATTATCAGCTTTTGAAAGCTTTGATCTCGGTAAACCCATTGAAATACTAAACACACTGTATGACAACTTATTAACTCAGATTAGGTTCATGCTTTTTCGAAACAATTTATATATGTTATCAGAATTGTTAAAGATTAATGACAAATACAAAAGATGTTTTCTGTATTCTTTCTTTTTATTAAAGGAATTTGACAGGATAATTGTTGGCAGATTCTAATCAGTCGCTTTGTTTTAGCATATGAAGATGGTAAATCACTTAAGATGATAACTGAAATGTTTGACTATGTCAAAGTGTCAAAGATGACTACCATTCAATCATGTTGTTATCTATAATTAAAAAAAACGTTGTTACTTCTTAATTCCTTTTAATTCCAAATTGAACAAACAACATTTATTTATAATAAAATCATTTTTAATACTAAACATCATACTTACTCCCCACTTTTTGACAATCTACAGCATACTATATAACTGGATCTTCTAGAAGGAAAAAGAAATTAGAATCAAGTCAATATCATTTTAACCACATTACGTCATCTATTTGGAAAAATCGACAACACTATTACCAATCTTGATAAAATGAAAAAAAACGAGAATCACATTTCAAAAATGAAAACATGATATGTGGAAACCTATCGATTTTTCAAAAAAAAATTATCTAAAGTAGACAATATGTACAAAAAAATACCTAAAATTCACTAAATATCGGACAAATTTAATCGTATATATTGGAAACCATTATATGTTGAACCATATGTTGGCCTGCTTAAACATCTGGGCTACCTGTTCCCGTCATCTAGATATTTCAACAAGTTATCTAATTTTAATGGTTGAGATCATGAGTAAATTGAAACTAGACCATCATGGAAAACCTGGAAGCACTGGACGGCCATTTCATCATATTGTGGGACTCCTCAGTAGTGCATATCTATGATCCCACCTCGCGAGATTCGAAACCAGGACCTATCAGTCTCGTGCGCGAGCGCTTAGCCTGGTGGATGCGCATTACTGTCCCACAATAGAATGAAATGGCCGTCCAGTGATTCCAGGTTTTCCATGGTGGTCTAGCTTCAAATGACTCATCATCTTGATTATTGAAATTACTATAATACCCACAAAAACCTCTTCTGATATTTTCTAATTTCGTTTGTTATGATACATCATTATGGCTATTATTCGCAAAACCTATTCATGTGAGTTTCTGAAAAGTGTACAACCTTTCGCTGTAAAAGTTACAAAAGGCCTAATCAGAGATATCGTGATGGCTGACAATATGCATGTACATTATTCAGATATCGATTGACTGTACTGCTAACTTCTAACTGGTGGTTACTCAGTATTTATCGTGAGGATCAACGAAGAAGTAAGAAATAAAAACTTGTTGAATTACTTTGTGCTGATAATTCTATATTATACGAAAAATTTAATACTGAATAAAGCTAATAATAATTATAAGATTTAAAATGTAGACAATAAAAGTGATAACACAAAATGTACTGTAGATCTATTTACAAAATGTCATCTGCGTAACTATAAAACATTAACTGTGATTAGATTGAAATCTCAATCAATTTTCTTAGGATGACAACTAAATTATTAGATGGTGATTTATTACTGTAAATATTAATTTTGAAATAAGCAAGTGTCTTAAGTATGTGTTGATAGTAACTTACAAAATCAGTAAATAAACAACCATGAGACTTTATAACTGCATTTTCTTTAAAAAAGGGCGAAGTCCTATCCGAGGAAAGATGGATAGTGGCTAGCAGTGGAATCCAGGAAGCGTGTTTCGTCCACTGCTAGCCACTATCCATCTTTGCTTATAATACTTGTGAATTAGGACTATATCAAGGCAATACGCACAGTGTGCACATACGCCAATAAGATACTGACCACTTGGAGTCCTAAACATCAATGGGAAGATTCAAACAAACAATACGAAGTGTTATCTAATTTAAGAATAACAAATATCATTTGACAATCTTTCCATTAATTCTAGTAACAATTTCTTGTTTGATTTTTATAAACCTTAATATTGAAATCAATAATTTAATTTTTAAGCTGTATATTATCCCGTAATAATTTAAATTTTTTCAAATCAAGTTAGATTCATTGCTACAGCACAACCCAGTGGTTATCTGGAAACCAAATATTGTTTTCAAAATCTGCCAAAGAGCTGTTGTCCATAGTTACCTGTTCAACTACAAACAGTAAACTAAAGAATTAAAATGATCTTTTATAGACTGAAATATCTGTTTGATTCCTCTTTGGTAGTATTTTATTGTTCATAAAAATAAATGCCGTGATACAAAAAAGTTGTTGGTGATCTCATATAAGTTAGCTAATTGGTAAATATAAAATCCAAGGAAATTTTAACTAATAATCATAGTTACAGAGAGAAGAATCAAAATGTCTATTTAATGAAAATGAGATCGAATAAATAAAATCCATTCTGCAAGTTAGTTGACATGCTATATGAATCCTCCTAGGTAGAAACATATGCTCAAATATCTTAACATCTCAAATAGATTTATCGTGTGTTGTTGGGTACAAGAAATAGTGCTAAGAAGTTAAGTAGGAACAACATTAAATTCACTTGGTGTTGTTTACTTGTAGACTCCCATTCTTATTTAAGATTGCAATTGATCAGTCTCTTGTTGGCGTATGTGCATCCTGTGCGGACTGTCTCGATATCAACTGAACTCACAAGCTTTATAAGCATAGATGGATAGTGGTCATCAGGACTCAGTAGCTGAGTGGATAACGTGTTGGTGTTTGAAGCGATAGGTACTGGGTTCGAGTCCCAGGGTGAACATTGACTCTGAGATGCAGGTACATCCAGTTGACGAGTCCCAAAAATGACGAAACGCATGTCCTGTATTCGAGTGCTAGCCACTATGCAATTTTGCTTAGGAACAACATTAGATTATAATCAAGCAAATAGATACACAGTTTCATTTCCTTCTATATATTACATTTGTTCTATCAAATATCCATATAGTGATGACAAATATTTTGTTTATATAGAACATTACTTTCTAAATAGGAGATCATAACAAATAAAGTAGATTCACTTTTGTTCAGGTCAAATTATTCGGTAGGAATAGTAAACCTTTGTTAACATTTTAATTTTCAGTACAAATGACAAGCAAATTGTCGTTATGGTATATGTTTGACATAACTAAAAATTCTGAGCATAATTATCAGATTAATTGTTCTCTTTTGTGTTTGTACTTTACTAACAATCTTTGTTTTCGATTAAATTTTATGTCGTTTTGTTTTTGTATATTACTTATTTCGAAAGTTTATATATTTTACCTTTCGTGCTTGTGAATGAATCAGAAAACTACATATACAAGTTTTAAATTTGAAGTTTATCAGTAATAGCGTTAGTAGACTTCTAAATAACAGACAAATAGTTCCTAAATTCTAAGTAGAGATAGACAATGGCTAGCAGTGTAATCTAGGACTAGATCTTCGTCCTAATTAGGACTCATCAGCTAAGTTTGTTTGCGTCACAGGGCTGATGTTCATTCCGCGATTCAAACTCACAAATTTGCTGAAAGAGATTGATTAATTACAGTCCTAAAACATTATTAGGAAGATTCAAGTAATGAACACAAATGAATTAGGCAGTTCCACAGTTCTAGTCCTGTTTTTACCTAAGTATTACAAACTTTATATCACTGTTCACGATAAGCAGAGATGGACTGACCAGTTGCAGTCCTAAACACATCGATGGGAAGATCCAAACAAACAATACTAAGTGAATTCTGTTCACGATAGTTAAAAGTTTAGATTAAGAATGTAAGTCATATATTTTTACTTGTCTTTTTTGTTTACTAAAGATGTTCTGGCAAACAATATGAAGTATAAAGGAATAAATACCTTATCTGTAAACAATTAAATTGTAAATATTTACATAGCATGAGCAAATTAGTATGCATAAAAGTAACTATTACGCAAGTTTCCTCAATAACAACAAAAATTTTTCGATTATTTATGCTCCGAGAGACGTTTTTATTCGTTGCAAAATTTTTGTTAAACAATCGTACTACGTCTTGTTTTCTTCTGAAATATGGGAACGGATGAAAATACGCTAACCAATGAGCTTTGATTTCGCAATATTTTACATTACAATAGGTTTTAAACCCTAAATAAATGTACATGAACACATCGTATGATTAAATTAGATAGTTGACATATTAGAACATATCTAATATGCTTCATTGTGATCAATGCAATGTTATTAAACTATTATCACAGAGGACTGATCAAGAAGGAAAAAAAGATTAACAAATGTATTACACAAATTGTTGGGTATGTCAAATCCCCAGAACTTACTTGGTAAATGGCTTAGTTTTGTAATTTTATTTTGAAAATTTGAATTTAGCTGTTTCCGCGCCAAACGCGCTCTTTTTACCTTCACGTCATATTTCCCACTTGTAAACTGTCTTAAACGCTATTGGTCCATTGTTTCTTTGTGTGTGCTATTTACTAATGATGCTCAAGGACAAATTGTTGTTGTATAAATGCGCTTGACTTTTTCCCTTATTTGATTGCTTGTACTCGGCTGCTTACGGAATACATATATATTCCCCTACTTGCCTTGGCCTTCTTCATCTAGTTAGCGGGGCCTGGGACAACAGATTAGAATAGCTTATCGTGTCATTGTGTCATTGGCTTTCGTTCGTTACCGCGGAATCGATTTAGTTTTAAGCATAACAATTGGTGACGGGGATTTCGGTGAAAAAAATACAAGAATTGGGACGTGATTTTGGCAACAACAAAAAAAATACAGCAGTCGGTGACGTATTTTGGAATTAAATAAGCTGTAATAATTGCCGACGGTTTTCGGAATTATTATTATTATTATTAGCAGTTAAAAAAATGACGATTTCTCTGGAACAGTTGCAGATAATATTAGAGCACCAGAATCAGCAGATGTTAAGCTTCCAGCAGAAACTATTTTAAATATTCTTGGACAAATTTTTCACTAAACAAAACGTCTCAGGAAATAAAGAAATTATTTATAATGCAGATAATGGTGTGGAAATGGCCGTCTCAGAAGAACGCCAAGTGGAGGGTTCAATTCCCTTTATATCTGACGGACAATGCAAAATTGGTAAGTTGGCCGGTTCAGAGCAAGACAATATCTTGCCTAATGCACATGAAACTGTGACATTATCAGATGAGCAAGAAAAAGAAGGTTCCGCAGACAACCCCTGGAGTCCAGAATCAAATGAAGCACCATTAAGTCCGCCCATATCTGAAGACAAACTTAAGTCAGAACAGAACTACAGTTTGCGTGATGTTGGCCAAGAAAACTGGAAGAACGCATCTCCAGAAAATAACTGGAACAGTACAGTTAACCAAATTGCGCCAAATGTGATTCGAAATCATGGGGAGACAGAAGCCTATAATATGGGTTCGCGTAATGATGCCCATAATTCTGATGAAATTTCGTATAAAGATGAGAAAACTAAGTCGGTCGAATCAGATGGTGATCAAAAATCTAATGCAATTTTATTAGATGCCGATTCTCCTAGTTATCTAATATCCTCTAGTGAAAATTTTAATGAATTTGATGGAGATATTTCAGAAAAGCTAAATTTCGATAACCTAAAATCAAATATCGTTCATCATCATCTATTCATTGCTAGTAGATTCTGCGTTCAATACGAGGAATATGTCCTAAATAAAGCCATACTAATTGTATTTTGGAGATATGAGGATCCAACATTATTTCGTGGGGGAGGAAATGTTGGAGAATTTCAACTTACAGATAATTTTTTTTTTAAATCAGAAGCTAATCTTCGAATCTTCAAAAAAGGGGAGGTGTTATGTAGTAGCGAAGACATAAGTACGGGTAACTTGCAGGACCTACTATTGGACTATCATTCTTATTGTATAACTATTCGGTAACTAGATTATCTAAGCTTTATTTTGACCTATTGATTATTACTATATGATTTACTGTCCCTATGTTATACTCAGTTTTATTGATTATTGTCTCCCACGCTTACAGCCTCATTTGGCCTGGTTTTGTACAAATATTATTTTCTATTATATGGTATGATGTGGCCTGTCTGTCTGATATATAAACAAAGTATGCTTGAAATAAACGATTCGCATTACAGCAGCTGCTATTGGTGTTTTGGACTCAAGTGGACGGGTTAGGCGGATAAGGGCCAATAAGGACGCTAGATTACTCATACTAATCGAACGTCATTGTCACAGTGTGAAGGTCGTAGAAGGCGTATTCTATTGGTGGATAATTTACACGAATTACGTCCTTGTTAAATTCGTAAGGTCATAACGAATCAGCCACGACCTTGATCAAGTCATAACAATTGGCTACCGCCTAGGTCAAAAACATAACAAATTGGCGACAGCTAGGTCAAGTCATAACACAAATGTAGAAAATTTCAGATATAATCACCTGAAAACATGATGTAATTTCTAGCAAATTTATGCTTCCATTGCATTTGTATTATGACATATGACTGTGTTATTGACTTAGATTTTTATCTCCTAGACTTATAAGTAGTAAACTATAGATCCGTACAATATTCAGATATTTTTTTAATGATTTCTGAGACTACTTACAAAAATGATTGTTGCTTTAAAAATTAAAAGGAACGAACATTTTTTTATAATGAGTGGTTATGGATAATTTTTTTAACTTATTCAAATGTTTTATTATATAAGAACTTTCGTCTAAATTGCAGCGATTAGTTTCACAGTACTAGGGCGCCGAATTTCACAAGACATTTAATAGGAATAATATATTTGTGAAATCTCAGCGAATGCATTTGAAGTAAATCCAACGTTTCGTCTGGCAATCTGGTCCAATTGAAAAGCTTGGACCAGATTGCCAGACGAAACGTTGGATTTACTTCAAATGCATTCGCTGAGACTTCACAAATATATTATTCCTATTAATTGTTTTATTAGTTTCTAAATTTGAACAACTAGACACTTTTAAGATGTTTAAATTTTCAAAAGAGGGTTTTTTAGGGTGAGGTAACACTTTACTGATATTTTTGACCTTGGACCTAACTGTCAACCAAAATGAAGCGGGAATTTATTTACACCATCATAATCCACGATGGAAGATATGTTTCACTATCTGTCGCTTTCGCTAGCTTACATGAAAAACGTTAAGGTTTTTTATGACTAACATATCATTCTACCATGCTACGAACGTGTTAAGTGTATGGCAGCCTGTCATGATGGAAAAAAATTATAACACAACAAAAGACATGCCTCTAATAAAGTCTATAATGAAAATTATTAAAAAATATCTATAATTATGTGACTGAATAAACGAAAACACAACCGTAATTATTTATTACGATACACTCAAATGACTTGAAAGCCTAAGGTTTATCCCTAGCCGTTTTTTAACCTCATATTTTGCCCTACACATTTGATACTTAATGTTTGATGTGACGGTTTTTCAGTCCACAGACTTTTTATTAATTTTCACTGTATACGTTATAATGTATATTAAAGCATTCTTATCAAGATTTCTTTGTACAATTAATATAAGGAGGCTGCTGAAAATCTTCGTTTAATATTTACAATTAACTTTAAAAGGCTAGACATAGTTTTATGTAATTTCAGATTGTGAAATACATAAAACTAACTTCTTGATTTATCACTTCACCTTCTATAATTGGCAGAGGGAAGTCAAATTATGAAAGCTTTAAGTTTGTTCCAATGGTGAACTGAATAAAATACTTTAACCTTGAAAATATATCAATAATTAAAACCTTAACTTTATTTAAATTCACTTGGTATGGTTTGTTTGAATCTTCCCATTGATGTTTAGGACTGCGACTGATCAGTCTCTAATTGGCATATATGCATACTGTGCGTATTGCCTCGATATAGCCTAAATTCACAAGCATTGTAAGCAAAGATGGATAGTGGCTAGCAGTGGAATCCAGTACGAGTCCCAAATAGGACGAAACGTGCGTCCTGGATTCCACTGCTAGCCACTATCCATCTTTGCTTACAATGCTTGTGAACTAAACTTTATTTGTTACCTTTTATCTCAGATACGTAATCTGTAGTACCTACTTTGTTAAAACATACAAATAAAATTTATCTGAAACTATTTGGTTAACATTTAATTAATCAACGTTTCCACCTTACTATATAAGTTACACTAAAAGTAACATTAGAATAAGCATTTTAACTTATTAATGATTAGCAAATTAAAAATACTTAAAGAGTATTGGAACAAACAATTATTTTCAAAACCTTTATTATCAGCCTCTACAGTCATACTGTAGTGTATGCAAATTATATGGATATATATAAGTAGCATTTAATGCTGATCAGAAATGGAATACCTGAGAAAGGAAGGTTGAGAAAATTGAACTGAAGAAAACATAAAGGATTTGAGAATTGGAAGAATTATGAATGATGTAAAAGACAACTGATGAATGATGTGCGAATAATGTATTTAATGTTTAGTTTTCATAATTTACGAAGACACTCTGTGACTTCGCACTTAATGACACATTGATTATCCCCCCCACCGAGTCCTCTTTCACTACGATTCGTCCATAATTATTGTAATTGAATGGTTCAAAAAAGTTGAACATTTATATCCATTATTAATCAAGCGTTCTGCAACTTCGTGTTTATAGTTGAAAAAAGTAAAGACAGTGTTCATAAATTCTCTCAACACAAACGAATGGTTTCATGAATAACTTATTAATAGTTGCTATCGTATACAAATAAAGTACATGCAAAACGCTACTGTTCATTTTCATTTTTCATTCATTGGTTGGTAAACTTACCGCCAATTTTTAGTACTCAATATTCTACCTAATGTTCTTTCAGCCCTAAAATCAAAATAAAACGAATTAAAAATCTTCAATAGATATTTTCCATAATTAGAGAAATTATTATCTTATACATTTTACAATTTTCAAACAAGCTGGTTTCATGAGGATAGGTGAAAATCCTAAAGTTGAATTTCACTGCAAACTAATTTCAGTTGTTAAATCATTAAAAACCATCCAGCATTAGAAATTTATATTATTCTAGTTCAATATCCTATAATAAGTTACACCAATTACTAGTTGAACTGAATAAGAAGTATTAATCGTATGTAACCGTTGTATGGGTTATTTATATCCATATAAGTAGTATATGATGATGGTCAGGCAGAGAATGTATTTCACTAGAAGATCGATAAGCAAAGAACGGAAACGGGACGCAATTGATATGAAAACGTATGAATGATAATAATCAGAGATTATGGACTGATATTTGCAGAAGGAATGGTCAAGATTGAGAAAACTGATTGATAGTTTGCAAATGAACTGTTTATTCTATGGTTGTCGGATTTCATTGAGATAATTTGTTATTTTCTTGTCAAACACATTCGATTGTCCCCGCTCGTGTTCTTGTTCACTACACATTAATTATAGACAATCACATAACTAATGTTAGGTTAATGCTAATTTATTTTTTGGCAAGTTATCATCGAGAAGGTAGTTGTGGGGAATCAGTAAAACAATATTATTTTACTATAGATTAGTTTTTAACCCATGTACTTTCAATTTCAGCATAGTCACATGATGTTATATAGGTTACATTTACTTGTAATACAAGTATTCCAGTGTATTGCTTACTTTCACAATAAATTTGTTTCATAACTACTGACGGTTATGAAATTTTAAGTTATCTTTTCATTCTAACTCATCCGCTTTGGAAATATTACTGACCAATTAAAATGGTCTAATGGCTAGATATAGTGTGTTAATTCCGGCTAGGTGATTATTGAGCTCATTTACAAAATGTCGTCCAAACTTCCATTTCTCAACTATCATATGTCTATGAAAAGTAAGTTGTTTGCGTAGCCTTGAACCAGTATCTGGATTATAAGGACATACACGTGGCATCAACATCGTACCTTAATATTACCAAGATATATGGGAACACCACAACCATTGCTCCTCATATACCACAGATAATTTCTAATAACTTTCAATATTTTCAGGTACAAAGAAATTTTTCATCTACATGGCGAAGAACACAGTAACATTTTAGAGTTGTTCAGTGACTACAGGTAACAAACTTGGTCACCATACTTGATACTCACAGTTTTGTTGGCTATAAAAAACATGTACTTACTTTTTATCATGACTAGATTTAATATTTACTTTCATTCTTCTTCCGAATGAATGACTGATCCAGAAACAATCACTTATAGTAGCACAACGCATGGTAACTAACGTGGAAGTTTATTAGTACTATCATACAAGATCTAGATATTAACTAAAGTTTATTCTCATATCAGTCAACTACATATGTGATATGAATGTTAATTATTCTATTATTGCACCGTAACAAGTTTCATTTCAACTATACTTATTAACCTTTTTAACAGAACATTCATGTTTCAAATGAGCATAGTCTCATTTATGTAAATTGACAAAATTTCCAACAAAAATACCAAATTTTATGTTGAACATTTTTGGTCAATAGAAAGCAATAACTGTTTGTAAAATGTGGCCGATATTCACAAACCATTATTAAGTTTAATTTTCACGACCCCCCACCCAAAAAAAAACAGTTTAAAAACTAAGAACTACTATATATCTTCTTCAGTCAATGAACTTACTCTCCATTTGAATAAGCTTCTCCAGTCTCAAAAACGTTAATTCCATTAGTGTAAGCTATTGTAACTATCTTATCAGCTATCTAAAATTTGAAACAAAAAGTTGAAAATACTGATATTTATTAATTTAAGAATAGAAATTTGAGTCACTTCTTATGTACTACAATATGTAATTCAATTAAAAATAAACTATAATCAGTTAAACAGTGTACAAAAATTATATTATTCCTATTTAATGTCTTACATCAACTCGGCGACCAAATACTGTGAAACCATTCGCTCTAATTTAGACGAAAGTTCTTATATAAAAAAATGTCAATGTTTCATTAAATTCTTAAATATATTCACCTCATTTATCTGAATTAATTGTGGAAGTTCAATAGTTTTGTCACCTCATTAAACTTTCCATTGGTTATTTCTCACACTAGAACATATTATGTTACGTTTTCACATCATAGTTAATTAATAAAATCTATCGGTTTACTTAGTTTATCTGTAAAGTTATCTTAATCATCAACCTAATCAACCTAGCATTCATTCGATTTTTTCGTCAATTCTAGAGATACTCTAATTCTAGAAATACTCTATCAGTCCAATATATGCTTTACAGTTTATTTCACTTAATAAGACCGAATACATCCATGATAATTCAAAGTAGCTTACTGGCAATTCAGATTATGAAGTAAACATGAATATTACTTGAAGTTGATTGCATGAATTCCTACTAATCACTTACTAAAATACTTGAATAATTATACACCAATTGAACATATATTTCAAGGGCTCTGGGAATTCGACATCTAAGCTGATCTAAATCATAAAATATTAATTTTGCTTCCACTTTAGAATCGAACATCTTATTTGTCTTCTTGATTCGTTTTACTTTCATCAGTACAATTCATCTTCTACGTATATGATACTCTTGGAATAATTATAATATAATTTTTTAAAGTATAGTTCCAAAGATAGATAATTTTGTATCTTTACGATGCTATATCCAACTTACCTTATTATTTAAGAATCAATTATTAAGATCAAATATGTATTAACATAATCTGACAAATCAGTAAGTAATCAATGCAACAAAACATGATATACTACAGTCAGGGAATCCGTTCAGGATCTTATTATTACAGTTTGTCGTATCATTTACAAAGTAATTATAAGCTCGTAATAAGTGTTCTAGTAAGTTCTCTAAAATAATTTCAACTGCCACTATGTAATTTAAAAGAAGTTATGTGACACTAAAGTCAAGTGAGTTAATGGAAATTATTCACCGTTGCTTGGAATAAATTTATTAAAATTTATTAGGATACATATCAAGCTAAATATGTTAACCATTGAAATCTTTTATCATTCACTTACCTATTTACAATGTATCAGCAGACAAATTAACGTATAAAAATATAAACTTACTTAGTTTCTTCAAACTTATCTTCAGTTAGTTGTCCTATGCTCCGATGAACAAAATAGAAACGAGTTTTTCAATCAATATGCTAAAATAATTTTCTTTGGCAATAATATTACACCATATCTTATCAATACGTTATAATTATAAGAATAATGCTAACTTTGATGGCTACACAACACAACAAAATTGGAAGAGCAGTTGTGAGTGATTGTCTTTGGTGATAGCTAGCAAATATAGTTGTATAATAATAAGTCTTTGAATTCATGGATGATATTTCACTGTGATTTAACAACCTGTAATTGTTTACCAAAAAGCCTTCTTATAAAAAACTACAACTGTACCTAAGTTGTTTAAACCAATCAATAAACAAAACGTAACGTTATTTCTAAGAGATCATCGTTAAAATAAACATATAAAATAAACTGTCTAAAACACTTACTTCATCCGGTATCTGATTACCGAAAGTCACATCTGTACCTGGAATAAAAATACAATAAAATTAAGTCGATAAATATTTAAGAAAAAGAAAACACTATCATGTTAATATGAAGAAAAACATTGATTTAAACTAATGAATGTTTCATTTTTCTGTATATAAACAAAAGGCAATCATTTTAAATACTAACTGCATGATAGTCATAATATTTTGACATTAATATGAGAAGGGGTTTTTGTGGATATTAAAGTAATTTCAGTAGTTGAGATAATGAGTAAATTGAGGCTAGACCACCATGCAAAACCTGGGAGCACTTGGGGACTCCTCAGTAATATGCATCCACCTCGCGAGATTCGAACTCAGAACCTATCGGTCTCACATGCGAACGCCTAACCTCTAGACCACTGAGATGGCCTACATCCAACGATGTTAATTCCTGGCTTCAGCTAATCCATGAAATTGAGCGACACATCCACCATTGTCTTCAGTGAGTTACTGTCTCACAACAGACCTGGTTGAAATCCACTGGTCACTGATTTTCACTAGAACTTCAGGAAATACCTCATGGGGCCAGTCACTAGTGAGCATATGTTGATGAATATCAGAAGGGGCTTTTGTGGATTTTATAGTAATTTCAATAGTTGACATCATGAGTCATTGTTTTATATTTGTTGAGAGGAAACAAAATCAAATCTTCTTCAATAATAGCAGCAAACAATTTCTTCTAGATTAAATGTAGTCTCCTTAAACATAAAAACTTGATTCTAAACTACATTCAAATAATAATCTACTATTATGATAAACTATTTAGTACTTAAACATACAGACAATACATGATCATATATGATAGTTAGCCATTTACAATAATCATCATCCTTAACGTACTATGTGTTTTTAAAGCTTAAACAATAATGATACAGAGATAATTTACAATAGATTCTTAAATATTAATAAGAGGGATTTATTTTTTGTGAAGATAATAACATCAGATTATTAAGTAGTATTTGAAATACAAAGCAAGCTTTTACTTTTTCAAGTGATCACTTCGGGCAAATTCAAGTAAACAAGTAGAAACTTTGTAGAATAAATCACTTAGAATTGTTTGTTTGAATCTTCTCGTTGATGTTTAGGACTGCGACTGGTCAATCTTTGATAGGACGAATAGCACGTCCTGAATTCCATTGTTAGCCACTGTCCATCTTTGCTTAAAACTAATGTTGAATTCTAACTTTATAAAAATTTCACACTTAAGAATTTCTTCAGTAACTTGATATTTAACATTTTTAACATCATCACCGTAGAGTACAAGTTCAAACTTGAAAGGCTACTGAAAATTTTCAAATTAAAGATGAATTCTATTATAGATTCAGTACCGCTGAATAAATAATTATCAAAATGATTTCACTGTTATGAACTATAGTGTTCACTGAAATATATCGCCGATGAAATGATCATCAGTAAAATACGTTATACAGTACTGTGTATTAATTATTGGTACACTTGAAGGTATAAGTCATTTGAACTTTCATTCTAATTATTTTTTGTTATTATTAATTTGACTTCTATTAAGACTCCATTGTTACCGATCACTTTCACTACCAAATAAAAGTGGCTTAAACTTGCATCATGAACTTCGGTTTCATGTCCACCGGAAACAAGCAAGCAATGAACAGTTAGTTCATCTTACTATGATACCCTCAACAGTGGTCAAACATAAGGCATCCAGTCCTTAAGATGTACGGTGATGAAGAGTCCTGAATTATATATATATATATATATCATGGAGAACAACTGGAAAGGTATCAGGAGGCAATCATTTCAACATGTCGGGAGGTTCTGGGCCAAAAGAAGCACCACCACAAGGAATGGATCACTGTTGGTACACTGGATAAAATTAAAAGAAAGGAGGAACAAGAAGGTAGCAATCAATATCAGCCGAACCAAAGCGGAAACAGCCAAGGCACAAGCCGAATACACAGAGGCAAACAGGCAAGTGAAGAGGAGGATCAGAACCGACAAACGTAAATATGTGAAAGATTTAGCAATGACAGCGGAAAGAGCTGAAAGAGAGGAAAACATGAGACAACTGTATGATTCAACAAAGAAACTTGCTGGAAATTACCGTAAACCAGAAAGACCAGTGAAATGCAAGGAAGGCAAAGTAATCACCGACATCGAAGAACAACGAAACAGGTGGATAGAACACTTCAATAAACTCTTAAATCGGCCAGTTCCACTAAACCCACTCAACATCGAAGCAGCACCCACGGACCTCCCAATCGATTTTGGCCCATCAACAATTGAAGAGATCAGCATGGCCATTGGACAAATCAAGAGTGACAAAGCAGCGGGACCAGACAACATCCCGGCAGAAGCACTGAAAGCAAATGTAGCAGTAACTGCCAAGATACTACACATCCTCTTCAGTAAGATTTGGGATGAAGAACAAGTACCAACAGACTGGAAAAAAGGACTTCTGATCAAGATACCAAAGAATGGAGATCTTAGCAAGTGCGACAACTACAGGGGCGTCACTCTTCTCTCAATACCAGGAAAAGTCTTTAACAGAGTATTGTTAAACAGGATGAAGGATTCCGTGGACGCCCAACTTCGAGATCAACAAGCTGGATTTCGTAAGGATAGATCGTGCACAGATCAAATCGCAACTCTACGTATCATTGTGGAACAATTAATCGAATGGAATTCATCACTCTACATCAACTTCATCGACCACGAGAAGGCATTTGATAGCGTGGACAGGACAACACTATGGAGGATTCTTCGACACTACGGCGTGCCTGAGAAGATAGTCAGTATCATACGGAACTCCTATGATGGACTAAACTGCCAAATCGTTCACGGAGGACAACTCACCGACTCGTTCGAGGTAAAGACCGGTGTTAGGCAAGGTTGCTTACTCTCACCCTTTCTCTTTCTCCTGGTCATCGACTGGATCATGAATACATCAACATCTGGAGGAATGCACGAGATACATTGGACAGGTAGGATGCAGCTTGACGATTTAGACTTCGCAGATGATCTGGCTCTTCTATCACAAACGCAACAACAAATGCAGGAGATGACGACCAGTGTAGCAGCAGCCTCAACAGTAGTAGGTCTCGATATAAACAAAGGGAAAACAATACTCTCGGATACAATACAATATGCACCAATCAAATTACACTTGACGGAGAAGCTTTGGAAGATGTGGAAACCTTTACATATCTGGGCAGCATCATTGATGAACACGGTGGATCAGATGCAGATGTGAGAGCGAGGATCGGCAAAGCATGAGCAGAATACTTACAACTGAAAAACATCTGGAAGTCGACTTAACAATTGCCAACCAACACTAAGGTTAGAATTTTCAATATAAATGTGAAGACAGTTCTACTGTATGGGGCGGAGACGTGGAGAGCTACGAATACCAGAAGATACAAGTGTTTATTAACAGCTGTCTACCCAAGATACTTCGTATCCGATGGCCAGACACTATCAGCAACAAGTTACTGTGGGAGACAATAAACCAGATTCCAGCGGAAGAAGAAATCAGGAGGAAGTGCTGGAGGTAGATTGGACACACTTTGAGGAAATCACCCAACTGCGTCACAAGACAAGCCCTCACATGGAATCCTGAAGGTCAAAGGAGAAGAGGAAGACCAAAGAACACATTACGCCGAGAAATGGAGACAGACATGAGAAGAATGAACAAGAACTGGATAGAACTAGAAAAGAAGGCTCAGTACAGAGTGGGTTGGAGAACGCTGGTCGGCGACCTATGCTCCATTGGAAGTAACTGGCGGAAGTAAGTACGAAACAAGAAATATCGATTTTCATTATTTGATCTGGAATCATTCATTCAGCATTTCTACTACTGTTAGCTGCTCTTACCAAATGTATTTTACCAGACTTTTGAAACCTAATCTGTCTTTTAATAAATTATGCAATGACCTGATGGCTAGTAATGGTTTATTATATTTATATTGGACGTTAGAAACTGTCCAAATAATTTTCATTGTTCACTGATAATAACTATGAAATCAGTGATGTGAAAAATAATTACAGTCAAGTCATTCCAACATAAGATTGATGTCGGTGAATGCTCTCCTCTAGGTTAGTAAACGGATCTACTTTGAAAATAACTATCTTTTCACTTTCGGATCGGCATCATGAACCGATCAATGTTAGACCACTATTGAAAACCTGAAAGTGCTGGACAACCGATTCATCCTCGTATAAAAATCCTCATCAGTACGCATCGATGATCCCGCGCACGAGATTCAGATCTAGGACTTTTTGTCTCATACGCTAGCCGCGACCTATGCTTCATTGAGAGTAGCAGGCTTAAGTATATATATATATATATATGTATATATATATATATATACAGTAGTATTGAACTATGACAACTTTTAGACTTTTTTATGTGCTTTTTAATCAGTTCTTTTTGATCATTTGATCAAAGTCAAATAGTTAGGACACTTACACTTCTTAAAGCCAGTTCGTTATGTTTAAATGAACGGAGTTTGATTAACAGTTAGTCAAATGACTATCTTATTCTGTGATGACTTTGATTTACACAATACAACTTGTACTATATTATGAAAGAATTCTTAGTAAATCCACTTTTAGAAAACTAGTTTCTTGAAGGTTTTCCGTAAGAAGTAAACTGCTTTTTATTATCAACAATCACAAATTCTCAGCTGATATTTTACTGATCATCTATAAACGTTACTAGATTTTCAGTAAAAAGTAATTGAAAAGAGGATATTAGATTGTAGTACCACTTCTTTGGTTCGATCTTATGTAAAAAAAAAGCATATTACTATTAGCTTCATTCAATATTATATTTTATATAGATTATTTTTATATAGAATTCACAGCACAAAGTACTTCAACAAGTTTCCGTCTATTACTTCTTTGTCCTTCCTGACGATAAATAATGAGTGATCGCTAGGTAGAAGTTAGCAGTCCAGTCAATCGACATCTGAATAATGTACATTCTTCTTGTTGCATATTGCCAGCAACGACGATAACCACG